AAATTAATAAATTGTTGTTATTCTAAGCTAAACTTTTTCAGTTCTGTTCGCAAGTTACATACACATTTCAGAGAAACATGTAATATGCCACTTAGCAAAATAAAATAAGACTTACGTTTTCATGTTCGCGATTCCGAATCTAACAAAGGCGATATTGTTATTGATGATTATTATATATAACACCGTACAGCACGTACATATGAAAAAACTACGGAATGAGTGATAGGAGTGACGGTGGGACATCTTAGGCGGTGACATTTGTAGAAAGATAGTGTCGCCATCTGTCATTTGGTTTCCGGCAATATCAACAAAATGTTTAAGCGACGCGCTGCGTTCAGTTGTATTCGGAAAGAAAAACTGAAATTTATTTTAGTGAAAGTATCTTGGGGAACAAAGTATCTTCAAAATATTAAGATACCAGGAACTTGTATCTAAATATAAGATACAAAATAAAAAATATAAAAAGTATTTCAAATAAAAGATGTAAATACGTATTTTGTATCTTGTATCTGTATTTCAGATACTTTTATCTAAATAAGTCACATCTCTGCCGAATAGTCTAGAAGTTACAACTTGTACACCCGGTGTATCAACTATTCTAGAAACAGCTATTATTTCATTCATCGGTCTAATGTTCAGTCCCTTATGACCTAGTGAAATCAATGTGTGTGTAAAACAATGACGAAAATATCCAATATTTCAGCTATTCCAAATGTAAAATCTTCAATTTTCTCTAAATAAAAAATACCAAAAATATATACAAATTGATTTCTATTAACAATTTTTTATATCAATTCTACACAAAAAAATCAGCGTTTACTTTTGGTTTTGTGTATATCTTTTAGGTTTTTTCCCATGTACCACAAATGTGTAAAACGTTTTACAAACTTGTAAAAGAACTCAGAATTTTGAAGGAATAATCAACTCAATATTTCTCTCAATATGCCCCTCAATTTTTTTTTTGAAAGAGATACATTTGTTCTGTTTCATAATTGATTACGAAAAACTCTCGATGTTCGTTACTTTCCGTTCGGGCGTATCATTTTTTCTTTTTCTAGCCGCCTCGGGAGACCTTCGGAGATTTTCAAATTCACATACGTGGCCCCTTTCACGTGGTTATCCGAAACTCCCCGGCCTGATACTGGCACGAATAAAGGTGACCCTCACTTTATATTTTGACAAAACTTCACATTTTGTTTGACTTCACAACACACATAGAAGTCCCGCGATATGACAAGATAAGACGAAATTCCTGATCAGGAATGATGTATCAACTCAATAAGGTCGTTTTTAATAGTATTCAGTTAATAAAGGTCAAATGAGACACAAAATCAATTTCTTCCGATGTTACCGTGTCGGCCTATTTGATCATCCTCATGACATACGAGTAAGCATATATTATGGGAATATCAGAATCACAGAAAATATGTATATAAAATATCACACAACTTACAAAGAATGAATCAGTTCACAAAATTGAGTTGTTGAATCAAAATATTAGACTGACTTATAAAGTATCTTCAATAAAAACATAAACATGATTCTTTGAATATTTTGGTATCCTTTTTCTGAGAGTTCTCATGAATTTGTTTTTATTGAAACAAATATGATTATCGGTATATCTTTCATCTGTGTTCTTAGTGTATCAACGTTGACAATGGTTTACTTTTATTATCTGCTTGAAAAATAAGTTGAATTTCAAAAAAAAATTATTTAGTGTCATTAGTTTTATTCGGATTTGAAAGCCGTCGTTTTCTTCAGGCTAGCCACTCACACCATCGAAACGTCATATAAAAAAAATTCAAAAATCGACGGCTTTTGAATCCGAATAAAAATAGTTACACCGTAAACCTCGACCGCGAAAGTCTCAACCATTTCATCAGTATTTTTTTATTCATCAATTTCTACTTTGTTCCATTCAAAGTAGTCCCCCTCGGATATAATACACTTGTTTTTTCTAGTCCTCCAAGAAGTTCTGATATGCACTTTTTGGTATGTCCTTGAACGCTCTTAGCGATTCGATTTCAATTCCCCCAATCATCGCGAAACGCCGTCCTTTCATGTGTCTCTTCAATATTATGAATAGGAAAAAGTCGCAGGAGGCCAAATCTGGTGAATACGCCGGCTGAGGCATGATTACGGTGTTGTTTTCGACCAAAAATTACGAACAAGTTATGATGAGTGAGCTGGTATTTATTATTCGATCTCTATCAATCGAACACTCGTCACTATAATTACCTACAATATAAATTTTGTGAGAATTTTTTTTGTAAGAAAGGTTTTTACGGAGTTTTCATTATTTATTCCACCACGCAAATGTGGTGACCTATCCGGCTTTCAGAGCGCCCAGCATGGTAAAATTTTTCATTTCGAATTGTTGCTAGTAACATACATATTCGTTATAAAATGTGATAAATAATTCTGAAAGGTTAACCACTTCTTCATTTCTTGATTTTTAATCCAGTTCTGCAGGTTGCATCATCTGCAACAACCTGCTCTATTTGCTAATAATCAGAAAATATTAACAGTGACTATTCCTATATGAATGATGCACTAATGGCGTGTTATTTGGAATTGATTAATCAAGAAATGAGTTTTAGTCGTTTTGTTTTCACCAATTAGCAACAATTACGTAGAATGTTTTACAAACTGAATCAAGTAATCGAGTTGTCACAAAAGCTGTTAATTAGATAATGTGGCTAATTGATTCGGAAGAGTAAATGCTGCGTTTGACAAGCATGGTAAAAGTTAAATAATCACCGCTAAATACAGGGTTGTCAAGATACACGTCCAAATTTTTTCTTAAATAAAACCCCTCAAATATCAGAATCACCTTCTTATTTGTCTTGCGATTTTTTGAAACTTACGATTTATGAGTTGTTTATTGTTTCTATAAAGATTTTCAGCCTGACCTTCTTGAATGTTTTTCATTTTTTTACGATAGTTTTCACAGTAGGTATGCATTTTGTAATATGATCTTAGTGAATTGCCCTCTCAAGAATAAAATAACACCGATTTAAAAAAATCACATTCGAACAAGGCAAAGTTGAATTTTCAACTTCGAATTGAAAAGTGCTGGGAAATATTCCATAGTTCCAGGTGGTTTCCAACATTTTTTCGAAACCCTGTTTGAAACCCTTTTTGTAAAATATTATCATTGCTCATTTTTCTCTCTATGGCTGATTTAGTTAGAAAATACCGCATGATTGACAACCATGAAAAAATAAACAAAAAACACTTGACTAACAAAATCAAATAAATTTTTCCAGAGGTGCCTGCATAGTTTAATTTCATAAAGAGTAATAGTATCAAGTCTCCGATCCAGATGTAATAATGTCAGGTCAGGCAATTCAGCTTTCTGCTTCGATAAGTTTATTGGGGGTCAAAATGGACACCAATATGTCACGGCACAAGTCGCTTGAATTGCAAAGGGTGCTTCTCGAAACCTTGGAACACTGTTCCAGAAAACTGTACACACCTCAACAACTTTTGGTGCTTTATTATAAAGCTTAGATCAGGACCTTCTTTGGAGTATTTTTCTCATGTATGGAGCTCTGTCCCCAAACATATCACGGAGTTGCTGGATTTCATCCAGAAAAGAGCCATCCGCCTGATTGGAGACACGAACATCACGTCAACTTTGATAGCCTGGAACATCGAAGAAAGGTTGGAGTTTTGTCTCACTTCTATAGATACTTTCACGGGAAGTGTTCAAAGTTTATCAAAACCTTTCGATACCGTTGACCACGCCATACTTTTGGATACTCTGCATGACAATGGCATCAGAGGTGGAGCCTACAATTTATTCTAAAGTTATTTGAGTAACTGAAAACAAAAAGTGGAAATTGGAAATATAACAAGCACAAGAAACAATAACGTGCGGAGTACCTCAGAGACGGTACTAGGGCCTGTGTTATTTACAATATACATGGGTGAGCTCTTTCTACAGGAAAAAGATGGGCAAATATTTAGTTTTGCTGATAATACTGTGATAGTTTACACGGATGGAAATTGGTATGATCTAAAAGTCAAAGCACAAGATGAATTGAAAATTTAAAAAAAATGGTTCGACAGTAGACTCCTCTCGTTGAACATTAAAAAAACACATTACCTACCGTTCAGTAGTCTTGAAACTTATCTTCCCCACTATTCCCCACTATTCCCCACTATTCCCCAAACTTAGGTTTAGGCTAGATTCACACTTGAGATGGAAGGGGCATATATCATATCTTGTGAAAAAATTGCGTTTTCTATTATTCAGATTCAAACAATTCATATCTAATCTAGACCTCAAAGAAAAATAAAAGGTGTGCAAAAGTTTAGTGGAAACTCATTTGAATTATGGGAAGAAGAAGAAGAAGGAAGGAAGAAGAAGGAAGAATATTTCTCAAAATGATTTTACAGAAAGATCTAAGATATTCTAGTGATTCACTTTACTCTGAAACACAAGTAATGGACAAAAGACAACTCTATACCGTACAAGTATGTATTAAACAATATTTGAACAAAGAACAATTGAAAGTACTTACCCATTCCTACGATACAAGTCAGAAAAATAGGTATGTCATTCCAAAAATTAACAAAACAGTCGGACAAAAAAGTTACAATTACATAGCCCCGAAATTATTCAATTACCTGCCGGGCACTTTGAAAATGGAACCCTCTCTCAAAAAATTTAAGAAACATTTGGAAATATTCATAACAGAAATAGAAAGAAAGGAAATACGTAAAATTATACAAGAGTAAACAAGTCGTAGTATGTAGGGATTGTATTTTCAGATGTTTGTAGTGTTCATTTTATATTGAGTGTATTTCACTCAGTGATACTTTTAGTACTAAATTACTGTAGTTTTTATTTATACAAAATTGTTAATTATATTTACTTCATTCGAAAAAAGACAAGTTTTATGAACAAAATGAGCCAGTTTTGTTTATTTAATATCGGTCATGCAAGTAACTACTCAGGAGTCCAGGACTCATTACCAACATACAATTTTCATTTCCAAAAATTGTTTTCTTCATCTTACCAATTCTCTTCAATATGACATTACGCTAATTGAATATGTATGACAAAGAGCACACATTAAGCAAGAATCAATGAAAGTTCGATATTATAGTAAGTAGAGACCCACCTCAATGCTGATAGATGCGAGAAATTTCTCTCGTTAACACTTTCGTTAAATATTTTATGGAACCAATTAATATCTTGGCGGATTCAGTCAGGAAATATAGAGATATATTATAGTATTAGACGTAAATGGAATTTGTTCCATGCGGGATTATTTATTTTAATTTTGAATTATAGACTTCGAATTAACGATTAGATTGTCAGCAAAAATACATCTTGATAAAATGTGGTAACATTTTAAGAGCGCTACTAATCAGTTTGTTATGGAACTATGTTTGATGAACTTGTCCCATAATTTGTTAGCAAATATTCTCAATTCAGTTCAATTCATTTATTACCTTTTTTGTCATAAAAAATATGTAAGGTTCGTCAATACACGATTGGACAAAAAAGTTCAACCATACAAATTATGCAATGAAAACAATACTCATAACTATGAAATTGCAAAATACACACTATTCAGTGTATATATTGCAATAACAATATGTCATTGTCAAGGGGAACACTTTCAAGGACTATTTGTAGCCCTCGTGGTTTAACCCCCTAAGAGGGAAGATGTTACCCTTAGAATTTTATATGGGAAGGGGTGCCAAGTTGCTCATCATTTTGTTTGGCGTTCAATGCTGCTTCCAATGGTACCCTGATTTATTATTTTTTTGATGAACATTTGCCGAAAAATAGCGTTCTGAACTTGTCACGCCTTGTATTTCTCGTTGACTAATTAAGTCAATTTGTAAACGATTTCTCTTTGTTCCACAATATGGCGAGAGGGTGGCTACTAGGGACTAAAGAGCAAAGCTCCCAGGAAAGGCCGCCAGCTTTTAAACAGTGAAGAAGGGCATGTGTAAGATGGAGGGTAGAGCGCCACCCGCTTCCTCAACCCTGGAGCTTATACAGCATACACAACAAAAACGGGAAATTTACTCTAAACGGTAACCAATTGAATCAAACTCGAATCCAGTTAAAATGTTTATAATTCCCTTTCCTAACATCTACACCTTTCCCAGTTGGTTCAACAAATCCCCTGATTTATCTGTCAGTTTATAAATTTCATCAACCGTTATTTAGGACTCCACTGGCAGGAAGCCTTGAGCTCCTGAGGCCACAAAGTGTCAAATCTGAGAAGATATTTCTTTTCTAATTGTAAAAAATATCAAAATGTTCATAAGATATAAATTATATCACACCTATAGTACACATGTTTCAATTCTAAACGGACTGTAATGCATCCTGGCTCCCCAAGGAAGAAAAGAGGGTGTCTCTTCAATACTTGAGATGTTGCTGTTTTGAAGTTATACTTCAGCTTAGATATAAAAGCATATACCCTACACTAATATTTTTCCCCTTTTGGGCAGGTTTGAGGAACATACATCTTAGTTGAGATAATTAATCAAGCATCAAAAATCTAGTCAATTATAAGTTATTTGTCCCTATCTTAATAGCTAAGCTTATCTGTGTGTGTCTCCCTCGAGGTGGCTTGAAGAAGAAGATTGGTCTTAGAGTTCCAAACTTAGGTCTGCAGTGTTCTGTCGATACAATTGTGATCAGCTCAACAGCGGGTAACTAATAACTACTGCTACTGCTGTATTAGGCATTCATGCAAGGATGTCTAGTCTTACAGCAATACTAACACGAGGAAATGGTATCCAGATAAAAGAAGGCCTGAAATGAAACAATTCATATTAGATGGAAACGGTTCACTGGAAGTGATGTCCAGGACGATACGTCTAGACAGAATGATCAAGCTCATTCTCTGAATGTATGAGTTGTCTCGTTGAGGAATACCAACTCACCTTTGATGTCGTGTGGCCTATAGGTTTACTTTTGCCCCAAAAAGCTAGGATTGAAATCAGTAGGATTCTGTTTTCCATAAGAAATTGAATCCAACAAGTGAGTTGAATGTTTTACCAGCATCCAAATGCCAAGAATAAAACGATTTCCTATTCTTATAAAAGATGATCTTACTTTGTTAATCTGAAAAATCGAGAAGTTTGGAGATAAATTCCAAAATTAGCAAATGGCTACCAAAAGTGCCACAAAAAATGTTGAATCCCGGCGGCAAGACATTTATGGAACCAAAGTGGCCAATTCACCGTTCCGTCAGAGCACAGAATCCTTAGGGGATTCGAATATGTGTTCGAATATAATTAACGCGTTCGAATATATCCTTGTATAGTTCTTTATCAGTGAATGGGAACTAAACGAATGACGAGGTATTCAAATATCCCAAAACCTTCATGGAAGTATTCATTTCAGGTTTAAATAGTCGTCGACACCAAAACAGAATAAATGACAAAATGAAACGGTAACAAACTTACACATGTAATTGAAATTTGCCTGTTCTGAGATGCATTATTGCATTGACTTCTTTCAATAAAAATGGTTAGAAGAGTAGGTGGCACCGTTCCAACCCTTGAATGACAGGAATAAATGTATTACGCGTGGGATTTTTTATTTGTTAGTTATTGTCCTTTTACAAAATAACATTCAATTTTCAAGAAAGTCATTTCAAACATAAAATCTACTCACGCTTATCTTATAAACTGTTCGAAATGTTCATTTTGTTCTAAACATTAATAAAGTCTATTTTAAAACTCCCCTATAATATTATGGAAAAATTCACTTGGAACTGACTAGCATGCTGGTGTAATTCATTTATTTTTTCTATATCCGAAGGTTGTGTTTTATAAACAACAGATTTAAGATACCCCAAGAGAAAGAAATCTAAGGTCATTAAATCTGGTGAACTCGGAGGCCATTCAACTGCTCCCCTCCTTCCAATCCATCTATCCGAAAATCTCTCGTTTAAACACTGTCGGACGGAAAGAAAATAATGAGGCGGAGCACCGTCCTGCTGGAAATGTAACAGATCCTCCAGCGAAAGTTCATAACCTTCTGCTTCCATTTGAGTTTCTAGCTCGTGAGTTATAAGAGGATCGATAGTCTATCCAGCATTCCAAGGTACAGATTGCCAGTCGAGTTTTCTTACAAAAATAAGGGACCAATAATGGCATTTCCAAGAATACCAGCCCAAACATTAACTTTATGTTGGTGTTGTGCATAGACTTCGCGAAAAATATGTGGGTATCCGTCACTAGCGTCAAAAGCGACAATTTTGTCTATCAACATTGCCATTCTGAAAAAAATGAACACTCATCGTTGAAACAGATGTTCAACAGAAGATGAGGGAAGGTTTAGACTCGATGAGACATGAGTTGACAAAACTCTATTCTTCTACCATAATCATCCTCGTGGAGCTCTTGAAGAATCTGCATTTTATGAGGATGGAATTTATGCATTTTCAATGCTTTTTTTACAGTACCGCGTAACATTTATGTCTGTTCTGATATTGATCGTAAGGAGCTCATGGACTCTGCAGCAAATGTTCTCAAAATTTCAATTTGAGTTACTTCATTTAATACTCTGGGGTTATTTCTTTTTTCTTTTGTCACTGAACCAGCTCGCACAAGTTTCGACTTTTGAGGGTTGTCGTTCGTAGGGGTTAACGGAAAAAACATATTTTCAAACTGGATCTCATCCGAGATATGACTATTTATAGCTCATTCGAGTGCTTTCACTTATCCCCTCTTCCCTCTAACCGCTTCATCGGTTTTAGCGGAAGATTACCGTTTGGTGGTAGTTGGTCGTGTTCCGCTTGATTAGAGGTTTCCATATGTTGCGTATTTCTACGCTAGCTTGGCTGAATGCGTTGTTGGACAACATACATGCGGCTTCTTTGAATTTTCTCCTAAACCGGTGTTCCTCATTGTGGATGATTTCTTTGATAATAATATTAATAAGTATTATTATTATCAAAGCGTCTGACTTTTGCTTTCCTCAGGTCGAGTGGGCTGAACTCGGAAACTGGTGGGTTCATCATGGCTTGCCAGGATGGTGTCTTCAACACCTTAGTCTACCGCAATCGGGTGATGGGAATAGAGGTTCCTGACACAAGGTGCAGGGCCTGCTGCGAGGCTCCCGAGGCCCTAATGCATTTGCTATCAGCATGTCCGCCATATGCGGTCTCGGTCTATATCCATCGACATAACGCAGCCCTAAGAGTGCTATATTACCATCTACGGCGGCAGTCTTACGATATTGACGAGACAACAGTGTTGCCCTATGCTCCGTTGGATATTGAATCCGTTGTGGGGAACAAGAAGTGCCGAATTTATTGGAACTATTCGTTCCTCACCCTCAGGCTCATACAAGTTAATAAGCCTGATGTAGTCCTTTTTCACCACCAGAGTAAGACGATATTTGTCGTGGAGTTTTCAGCGCCTAATGAGACGAATATAGTCCGGAGAAAAAACGGATAAAATATCTAGATTTTCTCTTCGAACTCCGCAGACTTAATCCAGACCACTTTGTCACGATGGTAGTTCTGATTATTGGAGTCCTTGGTGGAATGATGCCCTTTCTACTCTCAAATCTTGAAATCATACCGGCTTGCCGCACTAAGGCAGAAATCTTAGCCAGACAGATGCAGAAGGCTGTCATTCTTAGCTCACTGCGTTTGCTCAGGGCATATGATTCTCGGACCCAATGATCACCTACCCCACGGTGTAGGGAGTGGTCGTTGGTTGATAATGCTGGCGCGCTCTCCCGAATATATCGGGTCTTCGGGGGATAGGGCCTGACCAGCACAAACTACGGTTGGAAGAAAAATAATAATAATAATAATATCGCTTTAATTATTTCATAAACAAAACAAAAACTAAACATAACTTGTATATTCAAACTAGCAATGTCAATAAAGGGCGAAGTTCATCATTCGAAATACAATACATTACGGAAAATGTTCTTCTTCAAAGTGAGTACATTAAACAATTTTTAACAACCGCTAATATGTCAAAACAATTTTTAACAACCGCTAATATGTCAGTCGCTCTCAGGTAGTACTATTTCCCACTGTACCAGACGTTTTTGTCACTGAACTTTCACCGGCTGCTTGTTTTGTATACAGGATGTTGCGTCACTTGAACACCTTATAACACCGAAATTGTTATAACGTATTATTTAATTGCTTCAATCATTATGTATGAGAAGTTTGCCCGAAATATTACAACATTGTGGAACAATTTATTCGAATACCAGTCGTAAGCTATTCATTATTAATGCACGCAATACGTTGGAATGTTGATATTCTTGATTAGATCATGTGTTTTTGTATGTATTCGGTTTTGATTGATGTATGTTTTTTTTTCCAGCGGCCTAGCGATGTCCTGCTACATCAGAATGAGAAGAACTTTCTTACAAGGTGAGTTTCATAATAGCTTTAACTAAATTGAATTTTATATATTTTAATTTGATTCCTTGACAATATCAACGTTTCAAATACAGAGAGCAGTTAAATTATAAACAATGTAAAAAGTGCATCACAAGTATAGTCGAAGTAACCGATATAGTAATTTTCAAAGCGAAGTCAAAGGCCAAAAAAACCAATACGAAGAAATAATGCCGCTACGAATTAGTCCAATTAGAATTGACGGTTCGTGGCGGTTGAATAATTTTTACTGATTGGCTGAAGAGTCATAAAATTAAATTTGAAGTCATGTTACGGTGACGAATAGAATGTGAGTTCAGGAACTGATAGAATGTTCAGTTCAGGAACTGATAACGATTTGAGTCTTGAAATTCGATATTGGGGAAGTTATGATTACTTAAAATTTTTGTTATTTGTTTAAAATGTGGCGTCCTTTTGAACAAGTATTAATAGTAATAACGAGTGTGATAATAACGCAGACATTTTGCAGTGTAGTGATTCAAATAGCGCTGGTGAACAATGCGAAAAAGAGATACCAGTGAATAAGATTCGAATGCATTTGAATATTAAAACACAAAGAGTATGTTTCAATGTATATAAGAATCTTCATATCAAGTTTGGTTTCGAGGGAAAAAGCTATTACAAGCAACATCAGATTTGACCGAAATTCCTTTCTCAACTGTACGTAACATAGTCAAAAACAAACCTAATGAACGCAAGACGCGATTTGATGCGGGATAACCAAAACCTTTAGATGTTCATCTAATAAAATCATAAAAAAACAAATATACCACTGCTACAAAAGCAATGAGATTCCTACATTTGAAATAAATATATATTGAGTACCTATGTGTATGTTTATATGTATATAATGTATATTTATATGTTTGTATGTACACGTATACGTATTTATTATAGTCTTATTCTTTTATATCTGCTCATACAGTTCAAACCTTATATTTACTTCATTATTATATTCACTCTAGGTAATTATAACTACATAGTATAAAACAAAGTCGCTTCACGCTATCTGTACCTATGTATGCTTAGATCTTCAAAACTACGCAACGGATTTTGATTCAAAAGGAAGGTACATATGGGTATAACATGCATAATATAGTAGAGAAACACTGATAAATAATTTTAGAGGATTCTAATATGTTGTCGTAAATAAATATATTTTTTTGCGCTTACATTGCAAACGCTGCCTGAACTCTTAAAAAGGTACCTATATAAAAAAGGCCACTATGGTATATGTCTATCTATCTCTTAGGAATAACCCACAATAAAAATTTTGCATCCTCGAGAAATAATGGCTAATTTACGAAGCGATTTTAGGCAATACAGTATTAACCCTTATTCAATTAGGCACTTCAAATACATTGTGCATTCAATATAGATCAATATGGCCCTTTACAACATGTAATTCAAATAGATATTTTCGAAGATATTACAGATTTAAACTGCAGGGACACAGCAGTTGCGGCGGTATCGGCCTAGGGGGTCCGTGCCGGGGTCTTTGTGAATATATTTCACTCTTCCTTTCTTTCTATACCAGATATACCAGCAAATAGAGTTGTTTGCCGGTATCGAAAGTCTAGACGATGAAGGGTAAATGTATAATTTGTTTGGTGTAAATCGTCAATGACAACAGTATTTCTGTTTAATCTTGAATCACTTAAAAGTTCTAAACACTTCATATCTTTAGAGACAAGTCCAAAAAGAAATAATCAGTCATTTTTACCACTTTGGTTTTTTCTGAGTGTGCAATATAATGACAGCACAATATATTTGAGAACGCTAGGAATAGCGTACAAAATCTTCGGAATCGTAGATAAGAAGTGTTTCTCAATTCTGAATACATAACTTAGAAGCCTGAAAAAAAGCGGTCCGAGTATAAATCCTTGGGAGACACCTTGCTCGATAGTTCGTGCTTCACTCACAGTCTTTCATAATTGTTTCAATTTCTTAAGCAGAAGTTATTCATTTACGATGTCAAAAGCTTTTGAAAAATCCAGAAATAAACAAAAATATGTATTTTACAATCAAGAGCATTTATGATATGTACATTGAACTCAGTTGCAGTTCTAGTTCTCTTATGTGAATAATACGGCTCGCTACATTTTTAACGTGCCCTGTATTTTATGCTGTTATCCCTAATGAACAAACTTACTAATCATACAGTGTAACCCGAGTCACGACGATTTAACAGTTTCGCACGCACAAAAACTCGTGGGCAATTTAACGAAATCATACCCGCTGGACGGTTCGAATAACAACTTAACCGTGAATAATTTGTTAATTGTTACATATTTCACTTATCAATTTGGAGCCTGGCGCTACTAATCGATTACTGTGACCATGCCAGAATACTGAAGGTATATATTTCAACGGAAGGTCACTTTGATCACGCCAAAGCAGTGTCTTTAATACCTCATCATATATTGTTCTCCGATTATCCAGGTCAAAAAATTGATCACTGTGATGCAACCGGCTAGCGTTACTTTACAAAACGTTACTTGACTCAGTGGAGTGTCAAGGTTATGTTTAGATGAGCTGGTTTGTCTTACATTCGCTTTCCGTTGACATTGTTGTTGGTCAACAGTTGTACTTTTGGCGAAGTTGCTCGAATAGTTCTGAATGTCATTATATTATTAAGGTACACTGATGCACAGGTTTTGTGAGCTTCCGCTATAGTCGCTCCAAGAAATACTTAAGTAAAACAGGTATTTTTGAAGTGATCATTTCTAGTGGGAGGGTAAACCGCTTCGTTACCCAACGCGTTACGTCGCTAGTCTGTCTGGCGTCCCTTTCTCTCACGCATACGTCACCGGAAGGCAGGCTTCTCCTCTCTCGTCGGATAGACATTCAGAGTTGAGTGTACGATACACATATATTGTTGACAGTATTATAAAAATCTAACCAGCCAGCCCGTCATATTTCTTTATTATGGGAAACGTGGCTTAAAAATTATGATACTTATTTTGTGTGTGTGGTATTATTATTTAATTCTACAAAAAAGAAAACTGACTCATTGTAGCTATAATATATGCACATACACAAAATAATCAATAAAAGATTTCATCAATAGATAACCTTTCCTTACATTATCATGTCATTATTATCATTATCAAGTAGTTACCCAAGCTTTTCCCAAGTTAAACAATTTCAGCATTGAATAGTTCAACTTAGATTAGTTTAAGTTATCACTTCTGTCGGGCGTTCTTAACGGACCTCAAGAGAGAAAGATTTTGGCTTTTTTCTTTTCCAGCTTCATACAAAAAATGTGCGAATCTTCCAAAGAAAAAAAGAAGCAATTGAGTTGCAAATAAACTCTTTAGAGCAATATGTAGATCAAACATGGGAGTTATTTTTGGATACAAACTGAAAGGAAAATTACTTTCGAAACAACTACATTCATATAAACAAGAAAGAAAAAGTACTGTTTTGAGGCAGCATTTCCTAAATCCATAAGAAATGGAAAATACCAAAACCAAAATAACAAAATTACCCTTTCTACTTCATTAAAGAGAAAATTTTATGATCTCACATCATGAAACAGGAAAACTCTGAAAATAGTAATATCGCTTATAAAGTTGTCGAGAAGAGTGTTGAAAATGAAATACGTCACGAAAAAATAAATCATTTCATGAAAAAAGTATTAGCAACAAAAACAAAACTCTCTTGAGTATTATAAAACAATCACAAAAAAATAAAGAAAACAAATGCATAGTACTAAGTTATAATGACAAGATGATGAATTCCAAAGAAGAAGTGGTAAAAATATTCAACAATATTTGACGAGAAAATCAGAACATATTTCTCAGGGAAAGATTCAGAGAGCTGTACCACAATGACAAATGTTAAAGCTACCACGTTTTTTGAACCAATCACTACGGATGAAGTAGAAAGTTATATCCTCGTTAGACAATAAGAAAAGCACAGGATGTTGAGGTTTCCACCAGAATAATCAAAGAATGTGTGGATATATTATCTGAAGTTATAGGACATATTAGGAATCTCTGTATTTCATTTGGAGAATATCCTGACCTGCTTAAAATAGCGGTCCTTGTCCCTATCACAAAATACATCCTTACAAGATTGAATGAACCCATTAACCGCCAAAGGTGCGTAAACGCAACTTTTTTATACATTTTTTTTTGTGGTTTGGATCAATATTATTTATGTTTATTCTGATGGATATTCATAACAATAATGCAGAAAAAGTAAAAATATTTTTATTCATTCCAAAACATGATTTTTTCAAATTCTGAAGGTTACTTGAAAATGTTATAAATTGACCGTTCTTGTAATTCTCCAATAAAATCTATTGTTTTCGATACTGAATATGAAATGATAAATTCATTTTATGCTGAACAGTAATGAAAAATATACTCAATGATAACGTGTATTTTCATTTACGTAAATATTTTCGAATGTCGTTCATTTTTGCATGTATTTGTGACGGTTGCGTATACGCACCTTTGGCCGATAGTGGTAAACATTTTCATGCACTAGTATGCGAGTTTTGACAAGTTTGGGAATATTAGGATACATTGGTCAGTCGATTATTAGCCTTGATTGAGTTTAGTTCAGTGCGAATCAGTATTGATAGGGAAGATTTCTTGTATTTCTCGTAAAAAATTGTCAAAATGAGGTAACTTGAATGTAGATTTTGGTATTTCATTATCATTATTCATTCTTATAGTCAGTTTTTGAAATGGGAAATGAAGAGACTACTGACGACGCAAGAGTTCAGTGAGGAAAACATTGATAAAAATATAATCGGAGAAGAAATAATGGAGGAGGATATTGCGAAATACAAGTGAATAAGGATAGTGATGATTCAGATGATGACATATATTCGAGTGAAATAGCAGAACGTGCTGTGGCGGATGTTGCCAGAGAATCTAGAATACAATCGAATGAAGATAGTCATGATTCAGAAGACGACCTCCCTCTGAGTGAAATAGCAAAACGCATTGAATCAGAAA